AACGCGTGGTGACCGCATTCGTGGGCGATGACCCAGACACCGGTTAGGACACACCCTTGTAGGGCCCAGTACACGGGCCATGCCACGTAGGATAGAGGGTGGGGAAGGGTAGGGATGTAATTTGACGCAAGGTAGTAGAATATGGATGCGATTGTGAGGTCGTAGACGACGTATGAGAACGAGCGGATAACGGATCGGTTGAAACAATGGGGCGGGATTGCTTTCTTGAGTTCGCCGACTGTGAATGGTGGTTTTTGGTACGGGACCCGTTCGGGGGTATTTTTGTCATTCGACACTTTCGACATTCGCCCTCCGGCACCCATTGTTCAATCACCTATACATAAAAAAAAAAGATACAAATATCGCAAGTTAGCTTATAATATTATTGGGGTGGGGTCCATGATAGTTGAGCATAAATCAAATATCTCAATAATTTAATACCAAACTTTCCATAAGGAGAAACACGCTTTCTTGAAATAAAAAAAAACACTGATAATGCATCACATGGTATGCCAATTTTGACTGATAACATTCAAAGCATATCAAATTTATAAAACTATTAAACCATAAGTTGACTAACATAGTAAATATCGAGAAAAAAAAGTAGAGATATTTGTGAAAAGAAACAAACACAGTTAGGTACATAGAAATGTTGATGGAATCATGAGTCATGTGACTTAAAAACACGGGAAGGTGAACTTGAATTCAATAACTTTTGAATCATAAATGAAATTAAGTACATGCCCAAACCTAGGAGGGAACTATGAAATTTAAAGGACAACCACATAATTAGATCTGATTTGATGTAAGGATGTGACATAAATAAGGGGATTGTTGGGAAAAGCATATTATATATATATATATATATATATATATATATATATATATATATATATATATATATATATATATAATAAGTTGCTGTTGGACAATATAAACAAAAATCAGTTCAGTAAGTTGTAAAAGTTTGGTGAGGCCCATGTGATACACAGTCCATGTTATTGAATACAAAAAGACAAAGACAAAAAAAAAATTGTCATATTTTGGCGATAGTATCCAAGTCTCTCAAGTAAAGAGTGTATCTAAAATAGAATAATATGTGGTGAACATTGAACAATAAAATGAAGAGATATTGTGGAAAAATATTAGAAATCAACAGGGAAAACAAACCTTTAATGACTTAACAAATTGAAAAAAAAAATCACTCTGTATTAACAGTTTCTCTTTTTAGCCCAAACAAGTCAAATGGTTAAAGAAGATGGGTGAGATGGGGAAACGTTTATGATTTTAGCTTTCAAATTTGAGAAGATCTGTTAACTCTCTCAAATAAATCCAGTGATTTTCTTTTTCCGTTGTCAAAATAAGAGCAATAATCCAAACTTTTCAGAAAACAGAGCTCAAAATTTTATACACAATTCACAATACAAAAAATCTGATAAAGAAAGCCGAATCAAAAATCAGAAATCTAAACTGATTATTAAAAATCACAGCAAGTATATCTAACCACAAATCAAAAATCAGAAATCAAGTTTGCTTTTTTATAATGTTTTGATGTCAAATTGGGTAGTAGATGTATATGAAGTACTAGAAAACAGATTACCAAAATATCATAAACTTAAAATCAAAAATCTCAACTTAAACATTGTTAATGAACCACAAAGTAGCAAAAATCTTTATTCAACGCCAGAGTATCAGAAATCAGACATCAGAAATCTGAGAATGGTGGAGAAGAAATCGAGGAAGCATGTTATAGGAAAATTAAAAGCAAAAGCGAGCGATAAGTAAACATTGCAGTTTTCAATTACTTTATCAAAATAGAAAATCGTAGGTTGCTGAACGAATCAAATTTCACAAAAATCCAGCTCCAATAAAGAAGAAACACTTTTAGCAAGAAAAAACGAAACAAAAAGAGTAAAGTTAACAAAATCGGAATGAGATTGTTTCCATTCCCTGTTTATATTTGCTTAAATCAGCAACCTCAACGCTTGCATCAGAAAGGAGGGACAGAATCAACAAAAATGATTTCTCAGATCCACTTTTCAGCCACATTCCACATCAATCAATGTTCGAAGGTTTTAAGCACCGGAAATTTTAGATCTGTCAAATATGAAACCCCTTCGACTAAACTCAGGCCTTAATCCAACAAATACAGTAACAAATCACGGCATGCAAATTCAGTTTTCACAAATACAGACGCATATAAACGAATGTATTTCAAATCTCTGTATCGATTCGAAAGATGAATGAAGAAGATAAAGATAATCACCTGAATGAAGCTTTGAGACGTGAGTCGTCCTCTTTCTCTATCTAAATCTGAATAGCGAAAGGGCCGTTCGGAAATGCCGGCCTACTCCATTGCAAGAGCATATGCTGGTATTTAAGCTTTAGGTTTTTACGTCTTGATGTGTGTGCTTACACTTGAGAGTATTGTCCACCACCACCGGGTGGGACCCACATTACGTATTAAAGAAAGAGAAAACAATTAAAGCCCATGTTTAATTTACTAAAATGCCCTTTAGCCATCTCCGACTCCGTTCCTTCCTATTTACCAACTCTTTCTACCGCCGACCACCACCTGCTATTCAGAACCACAAGGCCACACACACATATACACCGCCGGGGGTTTTGTTTCGTACAACTCGAACCAGAAAACCCACAAATCCATCTCCTTTCGGTGAAGCCGTTCCCCTAGGGTTGGTGCATATTTGGAAAAAGTAAAATCAAAATATGTTGCAGTCATCGGAGATATTTACCGACCTTTTCTGGAACTGAGAAAAAGATCATGAAAATGAGATGATAAGAGTGTCGATCGGAGATGGCAGGTGGTGAAGTGGTGGTCGCCGGTAAATACGAAGAGAAAGAAGAGGTTGACTGGAGATGCTTTGGTAGAAACTAGAGAGGGATAGGAGGAGGCTAAAGGGCCATTTCGTAAATTTGTATGAGATTTATTTCGTTTTATTCTATTTTTTAAAATTAAAATATGGGTAGGTTACCATGTTTTGATAAATAAATTAATATGAAAACTCCACATTAGGTAGGTTTTTACTTTTTACTGTTTTTAGTGTTCAAATTTAATGATCCTTGTAATACAGATTTTTAAGACACAATGGTATAATTAGTTAATTATATTTTTGAAAAGTTTCAAGTTAAATATAAATATATAAAATTTTAAACCGTTGGTTATATCCTCTCTAATAAATGAAGGTTTTTTTTTATCATTTATAACACTCTCAATCATTTTGTCACATGTTATTTTGTGGTTATTTTGAATTAATTTTTATTTCATATGTAATTTTATGGTTTTTCTATTTTATTAAATTTCATATGTTATTTAAATTTAATAATAAATGCATATCAATTTCATTAATGGATTTTCCTTATAATTTCAAATTTTAAAATAAAATTTGATTAATTTGCTTTGATTATTTTATCTAAATGATTTGTTTAAATTAAAAATAAAAAAATAAAAAAATAATAATTTTAGTAATTCAATATTTTTTTCATTTTTCTTATAAATTCAAATTTCTCAAATGTTTATACATATTTAATTATTCTAAATATACACGTCTAATACATGGGCTCACACCTAGTGATTATAAAACCAAGAGCAGTTCATCAATTTGGCTTCTTTTCTTTTGGAAACTGCCGCAAAAAATGTTATCAAATAATAACAAAGGCCAGAGCCTTGGGAAGAACAAGAACGGACACAAACAAAATAAGAAGCAACAAGTAAAAATCAGCATTAACTGCATGACACTAAATAGATTGCAACACCAATCAATCTAATTATAGTTTTCAAATTTACCCTTATGTTTGACCCATCCAAAGATAATCGAGATGTTGTTATCCGCCATTTTAGAATGAGAATTACGGATCTTCAAAAAAAAAACAATCATTCATGCACTTCCAAATACACCAAAAGTAACCATAAAGAATGAAAAGCAAGATCTTCCTTTTTTTTGGGCAACGACCCCAACTGGCAGCAAAGATCAAGGCATTAGGAACAGTAGAGAAACCAGGAGCATGAATTGGAATATCACACCACATAACCTCCTTCGTGAACGTGCAATCCAAAAGCAAATGATCGATTGACTTCGTATCAGGAGAACACAATTAACACTCCGTAGATGCAACTCAAACTCCCCTCCGAGAAAGAGCTAATGACGAGGAGATATGATCCTGGCACGCCAAATGAAGCTAATAACATTGATGAGAACTAAATGCAGCCACACTCTCGGATTGTAACAAGTTGTAATCTTTGAATCGATGATCATTTGTTAATCATGAACGTAGAACATGCCGTCACCGAAAAGCTTAGACACCATAAGTCCGGAGAAGACGAAAGAGTAAAACCATTCAAGAGATCACCAAGATTGGTCGGCACAAGCAATGCTCCAAGGAGGCAAAGGTTTCCTCCTCCAAGCCTAAGAAACCCCGCGTATAGACGGCCTGCCAGAAATAAAAGATAATTATAAAATAATCGATTTATCTCTCTCTATTTCTTTTATCATTTGTCATTTAATTGTTCTTTATTTAATCATTACGTTTATTAAGGCCTTGTTTGGCAAATGAGTCGACAATGTAGATGATAACTAATAACTAGTTTATAAATTAATAATGTTTGATAAAAAAAATAACTTATAAGTTAAACATCAATATAAAAAATGACATAAATATATATTTAGATATAAATAACTAAAAGAAAAAAAGAATAAATATAATTAAGGGCATATTTGAAATATTTTTTAAAAAGTTTCATACGCTTATCAAAAACTATCTCAAAATAGTTTATCAAAATCTAGCTTATAATCTAGTTCATAATAAGCTATTTTTATTTTACTAAACAGTAAATTACAATAAATTAACTTTTTTTTGTCAAACTTGTCATAAGAAGACATGATGTAACATCCGGGATTTCAGGTATATTAATTCTTCTTTTTATTTTGAGTTTTGTGGAAGAACTCGGCGAGTTGGTGCGTAGACTCGCAGAGTTGAGACGCGATTTCTCACCCGGATTGATGCTTGGACTCGGCGAGTCGCTTTGGTGGACTCGGCGAGTCTGTGCTGTTTAATGAAACCCTAATTTCTCGGGTTTGAGGCCTATTTAAAGGGCCTTATGGCTGTCTTTTGCGCTCATCAGTCCCCAGAGTGATATCCTAGAACGTTTGAGTGATTCAAGTGAGGGAAGGAGCCATTGTTGATCTTGGAGTTATTGCCTAGCAAGGGAAGAGGAGATCTAGCCAAGAGGAAGCAAGAGAGGGGTGGATTCTTGAAGAACTGAGGTCCAGGACATCACAACTGAGGTACCATTTCGAATCCTTCTCTGTTATTGTGATGTTCATATAGATTTAGGGCTTTTGAACCCATTTGTGGCTAGATCTAGTATCATCATGGTCCCTTAGCGAGTTAAGGCTCTGGATTTGGACCCATAGAGGTCCAGAGCACCTCTTTGCCCAAGCTTTATATGCATCCATGGAGGTTTTGGTTTGGGATCAATGTATTTGTGGCTAAAACACCATTAATGAGCTATTTGATGCTTAATGAACACCAAGACTTGGACTTTACGTGGTCAATAAGCTTAAGGGGACTGGATCTATGAGTTAGTAGAGTGGATCAGACCTCAGAAGGTCGTTTGGGGTTGTGCATGGAATACACTCGCCGAGTCCACTCCCAGACTCGGCGAGTTGGTGCGGGTTGTTCAGTGATTACGATCCAGGGACTGAGTAACCGAGTCGGGTGAGTGACTCGGTGAGTCGGAAGAGACTCAGAGGGATCGGGTTCCCGTAGGGACTCGGCGAGTCCACGCCAGACTTGGTGAGTCGTGTCAACCGTTGACCGTTGACTAGAGTTGACTAGTTTGACTTTGTAGTGTTAGTCAGCCTGGGTCAAGGTGGTATTAAGTAGAGATATGCTTGTTTTGTAGGAGGACGATAGCTCGGGAGATCGAGCACTAGTAGTTACGAGATTTACGACTTACCGGGATACGCGAGGTGAGTCTTCTCACTATTCATTACCTTGAGTAGGTATTTCGAGTTGACCAGAGGGTCTCATGTGCTATGTATGAGTTTATGTGTTGTCTTAGAGATTTCGTGCTATGTGTTATTTGTATGCTGTATGGTTATATAGATCGGGCCGGAGGGCCCAACGATACTGACCGGGCCAAAGGGCCCAACGAGCTATGACTGGACCGGAGGGTCCGACGAGCTGCGGGACTGGAGGGTCCCGTTGATACATCTTGACCGGAAGGTCGGGTTTAGCCTTGAGTGGCGTATTTGTGGTATGTGGTATTTTGGGGAACTCACTAAGCGTTTATGCTTACAGTTGTTGTGTTTGATGTCTCAGGTACCAGCGAGGACCGTGGGAAGGCGACGACTTGACTTGTACACACCCACACCGATGGAGTTCATGTTAGAGAGATCTTGGGATTTGTTTGAAAACACTGTTGTTATGGTTTTGAGATTATGATATGATATACATTTTGTGGTTTAAAAATGAAAAATTAAATTGGAAATTTTACGTTGTTACACATGATTAGCAAGCCTAAGTACCTAACCCATAAACCCATCACCAACCCTTCCTTGCTCATATTTGGCGATCACCCCCTCCCATCCCTTCTCAGATTTAACTATCACGTGCCTTCCCTTCCTATGTTACCATCCCACCCTTTTCCTCTTCCTCTTTAGCCACCAAGTTTGTTTCAAACCAGATTAAGAACAATATCCCTTCGATGTTTTGGGTTTTTTATGTGATTTCAATGATAAAGCTATATCATTTGTGATAAAAAAAATTAACGGTAAATATTAATAACATAAATGGAAGATTTAAGGTTAGATGTAGTGGATATTGGTGGCAGGAGAAAAATAGTTAAGATGGGGTATACTAGAAGATTTTGTGTGGGTCATGAACGATACTCTGGTTGAAACATAACATGGAACGATACTCTGGTTGAAACATAAAATGGAACGCATTTGTCATCCTCCATATTTCTCGTTGAAACATAAGCTAATAATAATCCATATATATTTTGAAGTTATCTAAACCGGATATGTAGGAGCCTACAACTAAAAATTCCATGATAGCGGCGGTTTTGAGGCATTTCTTCATACATATGTAGAACAAGATACTTTCAAAGTGTAGATCATTTGGGAGATTGTAACACCTTTTTTCGAGTCATTTCATAACTCAGGGTCGTGACCTGAATATCAATTATCATAAGGCTCCGGGCCTTTTGAAAATAGAGTTTTAGATCTAATTGGATGTGGGTAACGTAGGTTATGGGATCCAAGAGTTCGATTGTACATTGGAGCCCAAGGGTATAATGGTAAAAAGGTGATGGTTCGGGCCTTTCATGAATTAATGAATTAGGTTCAGAAGGTTTTAGGATGAATGAGAGTTGATGGGAGGGACCTTACCCCAGTATAAAGGATTTGAGATGCGAACGTTATGTCCTTTGGAAGTTTGAATGGTAACGGGTTTGCCCAGTACGTTGGGCGTACTTAGCCTTTTGATCGAGGGACCTTACCCCAGTATAAAGGGCAATCCTGGAATACATTATGCGTACACCAATCAAATGTAAACCCTAATTTACAGTCTTGGACCCTGTTTAAAGTCATTAACTCATTTCCAACCCTCCTTATCTTCAGCCTGCATCCCCTTTAACCCTAAATTCGAAACCCTATCCCATTTGGAAGGATTTTAAGCCTTTGAGTAATTTTGGTGGATTTTTGGTGCATTTGGAAT